ATATATATATATATATTATATATATATCTGTGTGTGTGTGTGTGTGTGTGTGTGTATTGTATGTATATATGTATGTGCTGCAATCCTTAGCCTGTTGGTGGCGGGGTCACTGTAAGTCTCCTTAGGTCAAGGGTTCGATAGCACCGTGGCGCGGGGCTCTGGAATTTTAAGCACATGACGCGGGCTCTCATAATGGGGCCAAAAAACGCATGGAAAATCGATATTTGGGTATGTATATATGTATGTGCTGCAATCCTTAGCCTGTTGGTGGCGGGGTCACTGTAAGTCTCCTTAGGTCAAGGGTTCGATAGCACCGTGGCGCGGGGCTCTGGAATTTTAAGCACATGACGCGGGCTCTCATAATGGGGCCAAAAAACGCATGGAAAATCGATATTTGGGTCTCTGCCAAATATAGATTTTCTTTTAGGAATGATTGACGAGTCGTATCTGTACTAAAACATATGATACCATGACATGTAAATATTTGCATAAAAGTGTATGAATTAAGTCACTCATATTCATGATCTTCAGTATGTGATATTGTTTGTAAATTCTATTATACATATAGTAAATCATACATATTTTTTTTTCATAATGCATGTCCTATTTTCCTGTTGTTTATGCTTTAATGAATAATTTTTATTTAATGAGCTTCATTTGTTAAACTTACTCGTTAATATTTGTATATATCAGGTTTCTCCCAACCACTTGCCGGACGTTTCTACTGAAGCATACTTTTCACTTTTAGATTTACTTTTGATATGTTTTAGTATTGCATTAGTTAATGTATTTTTTTGTTGGTCTGGGCAGTTATTTCAATTTTCTTTAGTTATTCTTTTATTTCCTTCAGTTATATCGGTTGTACTGCTTTTTTTTAGAAATGAAATAAAATGTCTTTTTTTTTTCCTATTGTCATTATTGTTTCAATACGATCATTCCCTTTGGGAATACACATTAGGTTCAGTTCTTTTCATCACATCTTGTGTTGGTGGGCAAACCTTCTGGATCTGGTGTGTGACACTTGTACAGTGGAGCTAATTTGCCGCCAGCTGATTTGATGAAACTTAATTTATAAAGGATATAAAAGGTGAAGATCTGAGCCAACTTTACTTCGGATATATGTCCCAATTAATTCAGGTACATTTTGTTTTTTAGGTAAAACATGCATCATAAGGGCCCATTATTACTTATAGTGTCTCTTCCCCTACTCTTCTCTGGCATCCATTTTAGTCGCCCGCTTTCTTTTTTGAAGCCTTTTTCGCTCTTAGAGCGAATGGCTTCTTTACGTCCTGCAAATCCTTCCAAGTCTGTTGAAAGGAGGCTTTACGAGTTTCTCGAGAAGCCACAGGAGCCTTTCCTTATGGATGTCTACCTTTTTGAGAATGGGTGCTCGGACAGGATCATAAGGTCTCACTCTTCACCTTACTGCTGGCCTTTGAATGCTGCCGGCAAGAGACTTCAAAAGTTTGGCTATCATGAGGGCCTTAGGAGGAGAAGTGCAGCTGGCTGCCTCACACGTGCATGGGTTAAACTTTTCTACAGCAAAGCCATCAGGAAGGTCTTGCATTTGGATCGGATGTCCACTGCTAAGAAACATTCCAGCATTTTTGATTTCTTCTCGGTTGAGTTGAAAGACCAGCTCAGTCCTGTGTCTGTTCTAGAACTTCAGCATTCTGATGAAAGCTCTCCTTTAGATAAACAAAGTAAGTTACCATTTTTCTAGCGTTTCTTCTCTTCTTCATGATTCATATAAATATACATATATACATCCATGCTGCGTCATTGTTTTTTTCCTTTGCTGCATCAATCGAAGATGAATGTCCATTGACCTTAAGAATGGACTCACCAAGGGAAAGCCCCAGAATTCATGTCAAATCACCGTTCTACCAAAAGGCAAAGTTTAGTGACAGGAGAAGGTTTCGGCTCGACTTCTTAACGGAGGCAGAGGAAAGAAATTGGAGTTTCCATGGTTGTTTGGACTCAAACATGTTCGCAGACGCAATGAATGAGCCTAGGCTGTCATGGAGATGTGAAAATGGAGAAGTGGCCAACTTGACCCAAACTATAGCTTCAGAATCCTCAAGATTCAGAGCTAAATTTATCCAACTTAAGCCTGAGGCATGGGAGATTGGGCTTTTCTTAGAAGAAACCATCTTAGATGATCTCAAGGAAGCAGCCATTTTGGATATGCTGAACTCAAATTTTCACTAGGATAAATACAGTCATTTGTTTTATGATTCATTCTCCTTTTTTTACATTCTTCCCTTCTGCTACCAACCCAAAAAAGCAAAAAAATCTCAAAAAATAACTTTTAAATATTCCTTAAAGCATGACAACATTCTCTCCTACCTGCAAAATACACTCCGGGAGTTGTTCTTGTCCAAGGGCTGGTGAAATTCATGTGCGGATTAATTGTATGTAAAACCCACTTGTTAGGAAAGTAAGTTGATGTTGATATGATAGTTGGAAGTAGGCCCGTGTTATTAGGAAGTTAAGATTTTCAAATGCGATGGCTATATTTGGTGTTACAATTTTATTTTTAGTGAAACACACGTGAGCTTGTATTTTTGCAATATGGAGTCCTTCTTCTTGTATTATATGAGTCCCCCCCATGCTCTGAGCTTCAGCACATGGTCATGTGGTCCCTTAAATGAAATTTGCGGTGGATTTACCTAAAGCCCAAAGTTACAGCGACGCTTGATGTGCGGCAAAATTTGCTTTAGTGGACCACTGGTCCACCGCTATTGGTGATATTTTGGCAAACATTATTAAAGGATTTGAGAAGGATGTTTCACTTGTCTCAGTGGCTTTGGCTTGTAATAATTGGTAGGAAATTCATATAATCACCTGTCTCAACTTTAAATGGTTTTGGAAGATTCATATTTTTGCGTCATTTCACTCTGGAGTGATTTTTAGGGGCTGTAGTTTAAGTAATTCCTGTAAATTTGGATTTATTAGTCTGCAAATAGCAGGATTTAGCAAAGCCGAGATTCAAGGCAAAACTTGAAGAGAAATTGAAAAGAACTGCATTTATTAAATCCAAGATTAAAAAAAAAAATGTTATTTTCTCTTTCCTGCAAGATTCAAGTTAAATCCAACTAAAGTTCCTTGTCATATAGCCCGTTAATGTTGTCAGCAATTTTTAGTTGATTAAAAGTCACTAGGATCATAAATGTGGATATTTTGTTATTAAACAGCATTTGAGGAGCTGATAGTCTTGGTTAAACAATGGATGTGCTGTAATTGTAGATGTACATTTTTTTGTTGCTTTATTTATTTATTTATTTATTTATTTTCTTTTTTATTTGGTGGAGTTTGACATCTTGCCCGCTGGAAAATTGAAAAGAACGAAAATGGAAATCTAGAAAAGTGTTCAATATTGTTTTTTTAGTTTTTTTTTTTTTTAAATAAAGAGAATCCTATGTGCTATAGAATCCTATGTGCTATTTTTTGTTAATTATTTGCTGTGTTGGAGATCGGACCAGAATTGCATATGTTTGTTAGTGAAGAACAAAATGAATAAATTATGAGGAGAGGCAAATAGAATCTGAAAGAGTATTTGCTGCATCTGAAGGCTTTCATAAATCTGTCGGGAGACCTAGAAAAAACAATATAGTTAAATTATATATGATCAAAGTAAAATATTGTAAAATTCTGTAGAATAATGAATGCATGATGCTTTTTTTTTAAAATTACAAAAGAACTACCTTATAGTCATCATACCAATATCATCTATTTTGAAGTATTTCAAAATTGCCATTTGTTCTAGACTTTTAGCTCAAAATCTTTAAAGGGAACTTAACACCGATGTTTTCAGTCAACTTTAGATAACTAGTTTGTGAAAGGTTTGGTAATTGTGGATTGAGAATGATTATTTCTAATCCTTCCTACAACTTAGCAAGCTCTTAGCCTCAAATGATTGTAGAAATTTTTCTTGAAACTTCCTTCCAGTAAACTTCATATATTAACTACTCATGTCCTTTTTATTTTAAGCAATCTCTCTAAATAACTGCTTTTGGGGGGTTGCTCAAAACTTAGATTTGTTGTCTGACTTCAAAATTTATTTTTTATCTAGGCATTTTTGGTGTATAGTCTTGTTGTCTACATTGGCATAAAATAAACTTGGTTGTATCCATGTGAAGTTTTCTTTTTTTCTTCCACACATACACAAGCACAATTAAACTGCATAAATGCTTTAAAACCATGCCTACTTGGTTGAAAGACAAAGCTCTCAACCACTTGGTCAAGGTGGCTTGCATATTGTACCCATGTGAAGTTAATATATTTGATTGATTTTAGTGTTAGCGGATGATGCTTATTAGGAAAATAATACTAGGAAAGGGCTATATTAGGGAATATATGATTCAAGTAAATAAATAACTATTGTCCCTTACTGGTAATTGTTTTCTCTTTTACTTGATTACCTATGTAGATCTATACATAAGTGAGATTCATGTTCATTGAGTAATATTTTCAAATTATTGTATTATGGTATTAGAGCTAATCACCATTGATATTGATCCCCAGCGCATTGAATACCTCTTGTGTGTCATTAACATGCCTTAGCCATCATCACTTGTCGCAACTCTCACACTCATGTGCCCACTTGTATATTGCACATACCTAATCACCACATACACGCAACCTGCTCTTAGTGGATTCTAATGTTTTTGTGCTGCATGTTTTCTCACTAGACGTATATGTACCTTTATCCTTGCTATTGTGCTATTGTCTCCTACTTAGCCAATCATGGTGTGCTATCTTAAAGTCTAAACTTACCATCAATAGGATTTGAGTTTCTCCTCAAATATTTGGTTCTCTCTCTTGTAATTTCATGTCTTCTATCTTCTATTTTGGAATAAAATTCTTCCCTATCACCAAATTTAACTTTTCATTCATATAGCAATAATATTTTCATCTTCAATTTTCCTAAAAATGCTTGAACATTGTATTTGAATAGATTATGTTGTTTCTAACACAACACCAAGAATGTGAGATTTTCTTCATTCCACCTACTTTTAATACAATAATATATCATAGACTACACTCCTTATCATAATGTCTTTTCTTTCTATCATACCTTAAATTAGGAAGATTGTTCGCTCTAACGACATGAGATATGTTGAAGGGATGGATCTCAATTCTTAAATCAAGTTTTAAGAGTTAAGATTAAGTTAAATCTAATTTGTACTTATAAGTAAAACTTTTCTTGAGAAAAACTTAAGCGTGATTTTGATAGTTTAAACCCAATGAATAGTTATTTTCTATTAAAGTATAAATGATTATTTAATAGGACTTATAACACGATCAATAAATTACATAATATACTATATACAAACTGGCAAAAAAATGTAATAAAGTCATCACACACGATTAATAAAAAATATCACATATTCTAATATATTTTCTAGGACCGTGCTATTCATGATCATTTGTATGATAAATGATAATCCATATAATTTTGTTCTAAATTTTTATATATAATTATATCAAGTTTAATCATACATCACCAAGTATGATTCATTAATCATATATATATATATATATATATATATATATATACATTACATATATATATATATATACATTATATATTTTGGATTTATTAAGAAATCTTGAAATTGAGAAGGTACACACTAGTCCACTAAAGTTTGACATATTTAAATAGTCGTCACTATATTGACCCATCAAATCAGTTAAATATGATTCAAAAAGGTTCTACCAACCTATATCATTATACACACACAAATACAATTCATGCATATTACATAAATAAGTTTTCAAGAGATATTATATTTAATACGATACTTTTTTGGTTTTATAACAAATATGATTTATATGAATTAAATTAATTGTGTTTCATACATAAGTTTTCAAGAGGCATTACATAGTCAATATGATACTTGCTAGCTATATAATAAATATGATTTACATATATAAAATTAAAAGTATTTAATATGAGTATTGCATATGAAAAATGAATCTTGTTACTACAATAATCAATTCTTTATACATATTTTTTGCAAAAATAGATCCCGGCATAACTATCCGAGAAACTTTCTATTATTATGAATTGGAAAAGAGATTCAACACGTAATGGAATATCAAACATAGGAATAACAATATAGTAATTTCTAAGAACCCCAAAAAAATGTATCAAGCATAATATCCCTAACAAAAAAATCATTAATAAATAGTAATTCCTTATCTCAATCTCAATGTAGCTTGCACAAAACTCCAAATTTATAAGAGATCCAATCAATGTATTGTACAAGGTGTAAACTTAGATAAATAAACAAGTTCCCAAAAAAAAGTTAAGTAAACAATCAAATAAGTGCATCATAATCAAAATTTTACTAGAACATGTGTGTCCTAGTCGATTTATACTATCCTATCATTACCCAAATAAATTCTATGAAGATGCATTCTATCTTTTGAACAAAAAATATGATTCCTCTCAAGTGATTTAAACATGAACCAACTAAAAAAATAATAACATAAATTAATTTACTCAAGTTTAAAAAAATTCAAGTAACATTTTTAATTTGAGTGATGAAGTTAAATGACAAAGTCAGAAAAAAAAAAATAATGAAATAATGAAAAAAGGGATGTATGGAGATGGAGGAGAAGAGACGGCGGACAAGGGGGAAGAAGAATGAGAAGGTTTACATCTGTTAACTTTAATGTTAGGAATAAGAAGGCGATGAGGCTTCTCCTTTTATGAATTTAGGTGAAGGAAACAGGGTTAGCAAATATGAGGGAGATGGGGAAAGGAGAAAACAAAGAGCAGGATTCATTATATGGCTACCAGAGAGAAAGAACATGTGCAAAGAAAAGGCAATCAACTGGCACTTGATCTTCATATATAGATGGTAAAGGCAGCTAAAGGAGTTGGCTGATAGCCGATTGATAGCTAAGGATTAATGACTACAACTAGACAACTGTAGTTTGACTGTGTTAATGTAAAGATTGCAAAGATGACTATCAAACAACTACGGTTAGACTTAAGGAAAAAAAGATCATATGTTCAATTACAGCTTGGGAAAGTCTAAGAGCAACCTTGAATAAAAAGTCAATGCCTATATTTATGTAGGGGTAAAATTTAGGTAAATCTTGTCAATTTAAAGTTATAATGAATCTTTTGCCCAATTTGCACATTAAATCCAATTTTGCAGCAATTAAATGTGGATACTTACCAATTATGTCTTCATGAACACTTGCTGAAAACACATAGTACGAACATGCATGCTCATACATAAACATTAATAGACACAATTACTCATTCCTCACTACCTAAACTACTAATTAATCAACATAACGTGTATGATTTCTACTTTTTAAGTTGAAAAAAAAATCATTTAGATTCAATTGTTAAAAAACTAAAGATTTACAAATAGAATCCTAATGCCGATTTTAATGAACAGGCCATCTAGCCATCATTGGCAAATGCAGTAGTTGGAAATGTAATTAGCTGCTTTGGATTATGAAAGTTTTAAATTTCATGCATGAGAGGATTCATGTGTCCACACAGATATATATATATATATATATATATATTACCAACATTCTTGGACAACTTTCAAAACAAATTTTATCCCTGCGTATGTCCCTCATCAAAACAGAAAGTATTATTATGAAATATATATCAGAGTAGTTGATGTGGTATATATATAAATCAAACAGGAGAACGATCCACGAAGCGAAAAATAGAATGAGAAAAAATTACACTAGAAAAGAACACAAAGATTTACGTGGTTCGGCAAATTGCCTACGTCCACGGAGTTGCAGAGGATTTTACTGCTTGAAGAAATTTACATCAGTCGATCACCTCGACTTACAAGAGGAATCTCTCACTCTTC